TGGGGAGTGGCTCCCACTGCACAGATTCTCGGGCCTCCCCAGACAGCTTCCTGGGGCTGGAGCCTGGGGCCCTGAGTTACTGCAGCTCCCCAGGGGTTATGATACAGCAAGTCACTCAATGCCACCGGATGGTGGGGCTGCGGAGGTGCAGACCAATGGACGCAGGACAGAGCAGAAGGGTAAATTTGAGGGCCAGGCTAAGGACCTCAGTTTATTATGGGGACAAGAAAACTTTTTAAGAGATATGTCTTTATTTTTATGGCAGAACCAGGGATTGAACTCAAGCCCTTGCGCTTGCCAGGGAAGCACTTATTCCACTGAACCATCTCCCCGGCCCTATGTCTTTATTTTTAATTGAGAAATAGTGATTGTATGTATTTCATCGGTTTCAGTGAGACATTTTAACATGTCTGTAGGATGCACAATGATCAGCTCAGTGCACCTGGCATATCTATGGCCTCAGACACAAATCCCTTCTTGTTGCAAATATTCAAAATTCTTTCTACTAGCTATTTTCAATGTATTTGTTTATTTATATATTTAGTACAGGGTCTACAGGGTCTCACTACACAGATTGGACTCATAGTGATCCTCCTGTTTTCCGCTTCCCCAGGGCTGGGATTACAGGCTTGTGCCACCACTCCTGTTCTTAATCACTATCTCAGCACACCTGGGGGGTGTAGCCAGCATGGCAAGCTGGGAATCAAATCGCAGTCCCTACGTCTAGCTAAGCAGGTGCTTTAATCCACTGAGCTATCTGACTGGCCCTTTTTAATGTATTTAGTACAGGGTCTCACTACACAGCTTGGACTCATAGTGATCTTCCTCCTTTCAGCCTCCCCAGCACTGGGATTATGGGTATGTGTCACCATACCCAGACGTGGTCATTGGCCTAGCATGCCTCAGGGGGTAGGCTGGCACAGCATGCAGTACCGGGGATCATACTGCAGTCCTGTGCTTACCTAAGCATGCGCTTAGTCTGCTGAGCTGTCTTGCCAGCCCTTCTACTAGCTATTTTGAAATATTCAACTAGTCATATTCCTACTGTGCTATAGAACATTTTGAAGTTATTCTTCCTACCTAGCTGTATCTCTATACCCACTCACTATCCTGTCTCCCATCTTCCCTCCGTTGTCCTCTTCCCAGGCCCTGGTAAACACAACTGTACTCAATATTTCTTTGACACCAACTTCATAGTGTCTACATGTAAGTGAGAACACTTACTATTTGTCTTTCTTTGGGTTATAACACTTACCATAGTGTCCTCCACTTCCCTCCATGCCGCTGCATATGACAGTCGATTCTTTTTTATGGCTGAATAATATTCTATTATATCACTTTATGTTTTCTTTATCAATTGACGTGTTGATAAGCACAATTAACTTTTAGCATACCCTTTCTAGGTAATGGAAAGCTACTAAGGATTTTGAGGGGAAGCCAAAATGTGATGCAACCTCTGTTTTAGGAAGAACATTCTGGTGGTAGAGGAAATGCAGCTACTGGAGGCTTGTAGACCACTTAAGAAATCATCAAAATAGTCTGGGTGACTAGCAGTAAGTGTCCCAGCTAGGACAGTAGCAGAGATGGAGAACAAAATTCCATTCCGTTCAATCCAACAGACATTTCTTGAGCATGCTTTCTAAATTGGATGCCATGCCAGGTTTGGGGTATCCTAAGATCAAATAAGACGCTGGCCCCCATCCTCAAGGTCCTCACAACCTATCAAGATTCATTAAAAATAATTAAATTGAACCTGAAGGGAATTGATGATCGGGCAGTATTAAGTATTAAATTGTGCTCCTCTAAATTCATATGTCGAGGCCTTAATCTCCAATGTGAATCTGGAGATAGCACCTTGAAGGACTTAATAAGGAGTCATAAAGCTGGGGCTGTCATCCAGTCTGACAGGGTCCTTCTAAGAGAAAGTGGAGACACCAGAGCTGTCTGTGCTGCGTGCACAGAGGAAAGGTCACGTGAAGACACAGTGACAAGTTGTCATCCGCAAATCAAGAAGAGAGGCCTCTGGGAAACTAATGCCGTTGGCACCTTGCTCACAGATTTGCAGTGTTCAGAACTGTGAGCCAGTGAGCGGCTGTTGCTCAAGGCATGCAGCCTGCGACACTTTGTTAGGGCAGCTCAACCAGACTAATACATCCAGGTCTTACATTTCTGTTCTTAAGGTGACATGAGCAGGATTCAGCAAGGCTGTAGATTACGGACAATCGGAGCGCAGAGATTACAGCCGGGGCAGGTATGGACTGTTTAGCCTAGAGACAAAGCACAGGTGGGGTGAGATGTGGTCCAGGGCAGAGCTCAGGCATCCTGACACGCAGACACGCTGCCTGGGATTTGTGGGACCTTGTGTTCGGTTATAACACAGGCGTGTTTGTGAGTTACACACCGTGTATTTACCTCTGCGTCCTCAGAGGGATGACGGGGGAGGAAAGAGAACTGCATCGGCAGCACATTCGACAGACGTAGTTTCTACTCTGCCCCTTCTCAATTTACTGACAGAGTCAGGATTTAGATGTAGACCTAATGGAATTTGACGTATCGACAGCTCATCTGTTCATTAATTATTTACTGGCCGTGTCTTCAGCTGGATTCTTGTGTTGTTATTTACTGCTGCTATAGTGGTGCTTTGTCTTCCTCCACTAGAGGGAAAGCAGCTTGAGGACAGGAGCCGCTCGAGGGTGTCTCTGCCTGCTCTCTTTACCTTCGGCACCAGCACAGGGCTGAGCATCCACACGAGAGCAGGGCTAACATTTGCTCTAGATGATTATAAAAAGGATGGTTACAGGTACAGCATCTTTCTTTTATTAAGTTGTGCAAATTGCAGAGATGGTCAAAACAAGCTGCATTGACTTAGAGTTACAACAGACTTTTTTTTTTTTTTTTTTTTTGTGGTGGTACCAGGGATTGAACTCAGACCCTTGTGCTTGCCAGCCAAGTGCTTATTCTACTGAACCATCTCTCTGGCCCCTCAACGGACATTTAAAGCATGCAGAGGGTATTAGTGGCAATCTTAGTATGAGGCAAGACTCCACAAATGAATAGCTCGTGGCCGTGGATCTGCCATCTCAAGGAGCTGGGCATGGAACTGGATTTCAGAAAGTTCATGGTGATGCCTGGGTGTTGCTTGCGGTACTGTTTACCTGCTTATGGCTCAGGGGCACCTCCTCCGATGGGGTTAAGTATTTACATGCAGCCTGACTCCCCCTGACTCTGCAGGAGCCTTGGAAAAACTGAAACCTCTTCCTTGGCAGGGCCTAATGGAGCTCCTTTCTTTTCCATATTCAAGTCAGCTTCCATCCTAGACTTCATGGCAGGATGACCCCCAGTGAAGCTGGCCACTTCTGTACTACATAAAAAGGGCAAGTGCATTCATTATTATTATACTGTTATGCAATATATAATATATAATAGTGATTAGGCTGTCAGCCACCAGAGCCTCTAACCACAGATCAGAGGCTGAGGTGCCATAAATTCAGCCAGTCAAATCTTTGGGCCATCTATGTGAAGGTGAGAAGATGCAGGTCCATCTGCAATGGGCATCTTCTACAGGAACTTTGGAGGGTGAAATAGGTGGTAGAGGAGGAGCTGGCCTAATGGAAGCATCTATGGGATATGAGACACAAAATCTTTTTTTTTTTTTTTTTTTTTTGCAGAACCGGGGATTGAACTTAGGCCCTTGCGCTTGCCAGGGAAGAGCTTATTCCACTGAGCCATCTCCCCGGCCCCCACAAAATCTTATAGATCTGAGTTTTGCTCAAGTCCAGAGGGTTGGCATGGGTTAGGGGAAGCCTGCAACTCGGGTCAGATCCTTTCCTGAAAACCCAGCTGCCTAGTCAGGTTTCACTTCCTGCTTTTCCAGCTTATAACCCTGTCTTTGTCTAGGCCCCCTCCTGGTCTGGAGTTAGAAGATCTATCGCTGCCTGCCTGTGGCTGAATTGGCTCCTCTACAGGGGCAGAAGGGTTCTCCTGTGCTTTTACTACAGACAGCCATGTGCTAAGTTGTGGAAGCAGGGAGCTGCACCGCTATATAGCTGGTGCCTACAGTGCACCTAGTAGGACTGTCACCTTTGACAAGTGAACGGAGGCCTGTACATGCTTGGTCTGGACTTCTAGGTATAAGGCATTTAGGTGACAAGCCCGTGTCCCCTCTAAGCAGATGAAGCCACCCCAGCAAGCCCAGGCTGAAACAGCAGCCTCTACTTTCCTGCACCCCATCCAGAATCATGGAGTTTAGCAAGGACTTTTCAGAATGAAAGTAGCAGTGGTGTCCAAGGGGCTTGCCCGACCTTGTGATGGAGCGGGGCTGACAAAGCCTCTGCCCTCTTTTGTCTCTCCACTGCCCCACCTATTCGCATCTCCGCCTCCTCTGAACCCACCGCCCCAAGAAGCCCACAGGAGAAACAGCTCTTGAGATTAAGAATACCTAACCAGAGAGTCATCGGAGCACCTTTTCTGGGGCCAGGGTAATGAGAATTATTCAAATGCAATCATAAAAACGAGGCCAGCCAGGAAGGGATGGGGGGAGGGCAGCGGCGATGGAGGCAAGGAACTCTTGGTAGCTTTAAGTTTCGTATTTTCTGGGGAGTTCTTTTGCAGTCCACAGAAAATTTCACCCCATCTCTGTTCCCCCATCCAGCACTCGATGTCGGGGAACTCTGTCGCCCGGTTCGCTAAAGAAGACCTGGCGTGGTGGGGTGCGCCTGAGTTCATGGAGTCCGCGGTGCACTCCATCCGCGGCTGCCTCGGGTTCCGAGGCTCCTTCCCAAGCGCAGTTCGGCCTCCCCGCCAGCAGGAGCGAGGCCCGCGCCCGGCATCCGATAGCAGCCTCCAGCAGAGGGAGACACTCCAGCGGCTCGGCGACTGGGAAGCGCTGAGGCCCGGAGTGGGTGGGGGTGGTGGGGGGGTGGGGAGAAAGGGGGAGTGGGGAGAGGGGTGGTGTGCGAAGGGGGGGCTCCAGGGGGCGGGTCCCTGTGCCGCTGACGTCCCGAGCAGTGCTGGGAAGTATAGGCTGTGTTGTCACGCCGGTGTCAGTCTGATGAAGATTGGCATCAGGTAAGCTGTCATTCATTTCCATGTCAGAGACGCTTTTGCAGGCGGCGGCGGCGGCGGCGGCGCGGCGGCTGCTGCGGGCGGCTGCCTCAGAGCGCGTGTGTTTTATTCCAGTCCCCAAGCCAGAGTATTATTCATTGCGACAGGGCAAGGAGGAGAGAGCGAGAGAGGGAGGCAGCAGGGAGGAGAGAGAGGGAGGCAGCAGGGAGGAGGGAGGCAGCGAGCAGAGAGGGACGGCGGGAGCGTGCAGAGAGAAGCTGGGGAAGCGCCGGAGAGCGCGGAGCGAGGGACGGCGAGGCCGGGCGAGGGCGGCGAGAACCCCGCAGTC